CGAGCCTAATGGCTCGGGAATGCCCACATTTTTGGAGGCCTTGTGCCGCATGACGCCCTCGTGGGGGTGGCTAAATATCTTAGCAGCCCAGATACTTTCTGAGCGACTGCTTTTTCAAATCTCTGTCTCCGGACAGAGGGAACTGAAGGAGGCTACGCCGAAGGGCGAAGTCTCCTTCAGGGGATGTAAACGGCCCTGAACCCGTTTATACGGGTTCAAATGGGCTATTTTTTTCCCGAGCCTAATGGCCCGGGAATGCCCACGTTAAAAGGCCTTGTGCCGCATGACGCCCACGTGGGGGGGGGTGGCTAAATATCTTAGCAGTCCAGATACTTTCTGAGCGACTGATCGGTTCAACTCTCTGTCTCCAGACGGAGAGGAACCCGAAGGAGGCTACGCCGAAGGGCGAAGTCTCCTTCGGGGAGGTAAAACCGGCCCTGAACCCGTTTATACGGGTACAAATGGGCTATTTTTTGGCCGAGTCTAAAGGCTCGGGAATGCCCACGTTAAAAAGGCCTTGTGCCGCATGACGCCTTCGTGGGGGGGGGCTAAATATCTTAGCAGTCCAGATACTTTCTGAGCGACTGATCGGTTCAACTCTCTGTCTCCAGACGGAGAGGAACCCGAATTAGGCTACGCCGAAGGGCGAAGTCTCCTTCGGGGAGGTAAAATAACCCTGAACCCGTTTATACGGGTACAAATGGGCTATTTTTTGGCCGAGTCTAAAGGCTCAGGAATGCCCACGTTAAAAAAAAGCCTTGTGCCGCATGACGCCTTCGTGGGGGGGCTAAATATCTTAGCAGTCCAGATACTTTCTGAGCGACTGATCGGTTCAACTCTCTGTCTCCGGACGGAAAAACCCGAAGGAGGCTACGCCGAAGGGCGAAGTCTCCTTCGGGAGGTGGAACAATTTTTTGAACCCGTTTATACATTCAAATGGATTTTTATATTTTCCGAGCCTAATGGCTCGGGAATTCCCACGTTAAAAAGGCCTTGTGCCACATGACACCCTCGTTTTTTAACATTTTTTGGCTGAATATCTTAGCAGTCCAGATAAGCTTACCCGGTACATACCGTTGGACTATAGACTTTGGATATTGTTTCGTACTAACCAACCTTCGTTCTACTAATCACTCTATTGTTAATGGCTTTTATGAATATACCAGTATTTTCCTCTACAACTGTGTTTGTCTTGATTCATACACCGACACGCGGGAAACTCACAACATCTCAACATATATATATATATATATATATATATATATATATATATATATAATAGGAAAAAGAGTCAATGAGAAAATACTTCTTCATATATACAAAGAAATATCAGCCTTGCACCAATGAAGAGTAAATATATAAAAGAAAAACGAGAAATATAATCAGTCGATTGTTGATACTCCCTGACGAGTGGATGGAGTGATTCCTGGAGGGTCCATCTACGAAACGCTGGATTTGAGATGCTGAAGGTAACACCAATCAGCTAACTTTATATTTGTATTAATTATATCTATCTATCTATCTATCTATCTATCTATCTATATATATATATATATATATATATATATATATATATATATATATATTATATATAAAAACCGTCATAGAGAAAATACTTCATAACTTTACACCCACGGTGAAGTTTACTGACATATTAGGGAAGTATTCTAGTTCTATTGTAGGTCGGTTTTCTTTTCTATAACATTTTTGTAACTCATGAAAAGGAATTAAGTTGCTTCATGGCTCTTATTTTCTCTGGTGGCTTAGGTCCATTTTCTTTTGTGTTTTGCTGTTAATGTTTTGAAAATTTTGTTAATCACATACATGAACACACACAAACAAGAACACACACACACAAACTCACACACAAACACACACGCATGTATATATATATATATATATATATATATATATATATATATATATACGTAGGTTGGAAATATGCGATAGGATGTTCTTAATATTTTATGAGTACATCGTGTGATGTAAACATTTCCAGTTTACTCACAACAAAGATGCAACTTCGTTTCGGTGCATTTAGTTGCACCTCGACTGGAGAGAACCAAAATCGTTATGAACAATTCTGTTTGTAAGGCGGCCGCACGTGGAACCTCACTTCCTTTTCTCAATTTGTTTGAAAAAAAAAATAGGTATATTTTAAGAGGGGACGTATAAGGATAAATAAAAATAGGCGAGAGGTAAAAGGGTGACAGAGTGAAACAACAGTGGTTGTTGATATCATGTTGAGGTGTTAAAGTGATGGCTCGACCCGAATTTTTTTTTTATTAACGACAACAACGGTCAAGGCCACCTAAGAGTAAGGGGTGGGGGAGGAAAGCCGAGAATAAGGGATAGTAAGACGATGAAAGAGGAACTAGAGATAAATTCAAACGATGGTTATAGTAGTAATTGTAAATATTTTTGGTAACAGTAAAACGAAGCCAGAACTGAATTACGTATATTTAGACTAGGATTATTGCTACTAGTTTTGTAATCAATGAAAGTATTTTGTAAATTAATAAATTAAGAGGTGGAGATTTCTTCTTGGTATGTTGAATACATAAGTTATTTGTTTTTTGTTTTAAACAATAAGTTTTAGTTCAGAATATAAGTAGAAAGGCGTATAAAAGTATGGGATATTATAACTTTTATAAGCAAATTTTGATGTGATGTTCCACGTGCGACCGCCTTACAAACAAAATTGTTCATAACCATTTTGGTTCTCACTAGTCGAGGTGCAACTAATGCACCGAAATTAAGTTGCATCTTTGTAGTGAGTAAACAGTTTTTGTCTATAGATTATAATATATATATATATATATATATATATATATATATATATATATATATATATATATATATATAGAGAGAGAGAGAGAGAGAGATGAACACACGCATTTCCTCTTTACTACACGCACACATACACACATATATATTATTAAAAGTTGATCTATTTATCGAATATAGAATAGATTATACGACATAGGGATTGTCAGCTCAATGCTATCTTCAGAGGATTAAAGTATAAAACTAACAGTCACCATACAGTGTTGATCCGTATATCCACACCGTATTGCTCTCTTTCGCTATCTATCTATCTATCTATCTATCTATCTATCTACACACAAAAGATACATATATATATGCACACTTACACACACACACACACACACATATATAAATAATGGAAGCTTTAAAAAAATAAAAAAAATAAACTCTTAACAATATTAACTACGAACAAAGCCACAATGTGCTAACCGTATTCGGAAATTAAAAATATCCCTACCACACATTAAGACATACACATAACGCACACACTCAATTAAACTGAAAAATCGAATCATCCTTGATAATGGCTAAAGGTATAGCCGAAAGCGCTCGGAAATATAAAACATTCGGACAGTTCTTACACACCCTTTGTCCAGAAAAGAAAGCTCTTGTTAGAACACAAGAAAAATTAAATAAAAAGCTCAACCGTAGTACCTTGTCTGTCGTTTTTAATGAAACATGCACACACACACACACACACACATATATGCACCCTTACATACATACAAATATGCATACACATCGTAAGATCTATCGTTGAGCTCTTAGTGCAGTAATAAACTAATAGTTCTTGCAAATTAAAGGCAGACTATTATTTTTTTCAAAGGTAACCTGTTTATGTGCATACTAAATTATCTAGTAGTTTACTTTGTATAATTGTCTCATCAAGTATATATACATTTTTTCACACACACATATAAAGAAGGAGTAACGATGAAAACAAGTGTGTATATTGTATTTATTGAATAAAAAGAAATGCAAACGACCAAGAACTCTTCGATTGACCATTCTAAAATGATTTGAATGGTGCCTGATTCTCTTCAATAAAGTCAATAGTTTTCCGGACTTCTATGACTTGCATGAACTTTTAAGTTTGTACTAAGGCTTAATTGATAAAGTTTTTGTTGGGTTTTGGTACAACTGCGAGTTTGTTATCATGTGTCTTCCTTCAGATGAAGTCTCTAAAACCTGTAGGATTAAAATATATGCCTTAAATTGACTTTCGTCAACCACAAATTCTAACGATTAAATTTTTTAGGCTATTTCACTTTATCATTCTAATGTTTGTTTAAAATGACATTAAATTTGAAGCATCCATTTTTGTAGGCTCATTGAAAATAATCAAGAGCAAAAGATTAAAACTCTTGAAGTTTTACGTGGTTTCACGAGTGCTATAAATTGTTTGATATCGGGGAAAATATTTAGGCTAACCCTGGGTAGGAATATATATATATATATATATATATATATATATATATATATATATGTGTGTGTGTGTGTGTGTGTGTGTGTGTATATTAGCTGGAAGCTGCAAAACTTAGGTGATGGCCAACTGTCTAAGCAAAACATTCAATTGAATATTTAATTAAAAACGAAGTTAATTAAAAGTTTCTTTTCTTGATAAGAAAATATGAGCAATTCTTTTACTAAACATTTGAACTCGAAGTGAATGGATTTACTATTTGTAGGTAACAGACACTTATATAAATACTTATCATAACATATACAATATCATTCAGTTAATGTTTGAAAATTTTGTTAATCACATACATGAACACACACAAACATACAAACTAAAACACACACACACAAACTCTCTCTCTCTCTCTCTCTCTCACACACACACACACACATATATATATATATGTGCAGACAATGATAGAGAAAGAAATACACCACTATATATATATACTCTTTTATAGTACTTCTTTTGTTGATTTGCTAATGGGAATGTTACATTTAGAAAGCATTTTCGAGGAATTAAGTTTTACGCGTCGAAGATAGCAGATGTGTTAATTTCGTGTGCGTGGAACTTGCACCTCAGTGGCGCGGAGGGGGGGTGATAGAGTGACCCCACTGACTAGTTAAAGATGTCGACGTGTTAATTAAGTTTAAAAATCCCTTTATTGATGTCTCTCATTTTAGCTCAGAATCCCAAAGCTAGCGATCACCCGGCCGAAAAAGAAAGAAGAGAGAGAGAGAGAGAAAGAGAGAGAAAGAGAGAGAGAGAGAGAGAGAGAGAAGAAGAAGAAGAAGAAGAAGAAGAAAAACAAAAGTAAAGAGGAGTGTATGCAGCAGATTTACGTACTTCATGTTCCAAATGTTGATTGAACGTTTCAACCCAGTAAGATCATTTGTTGCAGTTGTAGACTTCTACAGATTCCATCAGACTGAATTTTCAGTTACCTGGTTGAGTCGCTGACTGGTTTATAATGAAACCAATAGATAGAGGATCAGAATTCAAGTATAAAATGACAGTGCGACAGAGATACAAATGTAGATGCATTTGAAGTTTTCAACAATAATAATTTCAGCAGTTGATATAGACGCGATTATAAGCTAAACTGATAGCATAATGTTTTATATTCAGTTTCTTCATAAAATATCTGTTCTAAAGTATTTATCGATACCACTCACTCTAACAAAACTATGCTATGCACTTTATCTCACTGTCATTTTGATTTCGTTTTGTCACAAGAAGACAAAATGTACAAACAATTATAATTTCAGGAGCATAGTGAGAACATTAGATCTATCAAGAATTCGCACACTCACGCACCCCCATATATATATATATATATATATATATATATATATATATATATATATATATATATATATATATATATATGTATGTATGTATGTAGTTCAAAATTTATTCTTTTTATTGTAAAATGTTTATTTCAACGTACAGCTTCAAAACTGACAAATTTAAACCAATTTTTTTATTAGTCTATATAATTTTTAAATTTTAAATCGTGCTTCAATAATTTTGTTTTTGTTATCATCAAATTCCTCTCAATTTTGAAACTCTATGTGAAAATAAACCCTTTTGCAACATTTTAGATACATTTGCACCGATGAAGAATTAATTTTTAATGTGCATTCACACTTATCCCCGTATCGAAAATATTGTTATTGATCCCTTCAAATCATAAAACAAATTCAAATGTACCCATGAGAATTGAGGTTATTTATGGCAATGAGATTAATACAATGCACTATATAGAAATGAATTTGATTTGATTGTTTCTCAGAATCTCAGATGAATACAAAAATGAACTTCTGTAGCATCACGTGATCATGTCTGCGTTACTGTGTTTATGCTTGTCACGTGGTCACTTTTCTTTTTCACAGAAGCAAAAGACATTGGACAGGTTTTGACTATCAATATGTCGAGCTAATAAACATAAATATATATGGTGGTACGGTGGAATTGTGCATAGCGACTTGGATTGAGGAATCCATTACATTCACTTATGTGCTAATACCCTTGGGAAAGGTATTAATCCTCTTCAAGATTAGATTGTGTTCTATAGCCTTAGATGGCAACTGGTTTAGGAGAAGGACAACTCTGAATTGGCACATAGTGCGCCAGGTCTCTGTTTTCGGCCTTTCCCTTTTGTAGTTGCTTCAGGACAAAGCCTTCACCACTAGAATCAAATAATATGTGCTGCTGTCTGGGCTGTCGATTCCTAGGAACTGAATTGCTTGACCCACATACGTCGAATACGATGGGAGAGTCCATCATATATATATATATATATATATATATATATATATATATATATATATATATATATGTGTTTGTAGGATGTATAATAGTATACTAGACAAAGTGGAAACTTTTTTTTTTATCAAAGATGCGTTTCATCGAAGAAAGTTTCTCTTTGGTGTCACCATCAGTTTGAATAAAAGAAAGACAAAATTGTGTGTTTGGAGAGTGTCTTGGGATATCTGAGGATATGTTGGTTGTTGTAAATCACATTAGCTTATCACTTCCTGGGTGTAGACATGAAGCAAAGTAGTATTTTAATACAGGGACATTTTATTATTTTTTGTATACATATATATACTTACATACACATACAGACACATGTACACATGCATACACGTACATAATACATACATATATAAATTCTTACATATGTGTGCCCAATATACATCCATCCAGGCATATACATATTTTGAATTTTCGTACTTGTGCATGCATGTATACATATATATGCCCATCGGCATAGACCGTGCATATACACATATACATATAAAAGAGGTTTTTAAATATATATATGTGTACCTGTATGCACATTTTCATACATACCACTATTTACATATGCACATATACATCCACATATGTATATGTGTACCCTCATAGATATTCTCACACACTTTCACACACACATGCAAACATACACAACCATTTAATATATGTAAGAACCATTTTTATATATACAATTTGTAGTCGTCTTGTTTAGCCGATATTGCATTGGAACACTTTGTTTTGTCTTTGTATTATTCAAACTGATGGCGCCAAAAAGAACATAAGCTTTCTGTGTCAAAACGCATCTTTGATAAAAATTTTACACTTTTTTTATAATCTTCATATATATATATATATATATATATAAGTATAGGATTGGTGTATACGGAATAAATTCCAATAACCAGCAAATACTATTCTTAAAAGAGTGCTCAATACAAAGTAGAGCAAATATAATTATTTATTCGAAGATTATAACATAAATATGTTATAAAATCACTACAAAAATAGACACCAGTAGTATTAAAAAATGACTATTTTGTAGTAATTTTTATTTTATAACATATGTATTTTATAATTTTCGAATAAATAATTATATATATATATATATATATATATATATATCAGCAAATAATTATATATATATATATATATATATATATATATATATATATATATATATATATCAGCAAAGTATGCTATAATGTCTACATTAAAGGGAACACATTCATTTATTCGTCAATAAGACTTCAGTTGCTAAACCGGTAGATGTTAATTTCACACATAATTTTAAATAAAACTCAGAGATGTCTACTCAAAATCTAAATACTAATAAGAAATAATGTCAGATTACAAAATCCAGTAATTGTTTTCAAATTAGGGAGTTAGCAGATATAGATTTTGAAAGGTCCCAACAAGACATCGTAATTTCTTAAATAGAGTAATGTTTAACACACACACACACACACACATATATATATATATTTATATATATATATATATATATATATATATATATATATATATATACATGCATACAAAATATATATATGTTTGTGCTGAAAACATAATGATCACATTCGTTAAATAACACGATCACATATATGTGTATACATATATACATATATATATATATATACATATATGTTTGTGTGTGTGTGTGTATATCTGTGTGTATGCATCTGAAATCATACCATTTTAAAAGTGAACATTTGCAGTTATGGTTACATATCTCGGGGAGTGGTTGAACAAGAAGTTATTTCGAAATTTAATGCCATAAACTCACAATAGAGAAATGTTTGCTATGTTAAAACGAGGCTATAAATTACATACAGTGTTTTATACTTAGATGCTTAAATGTACAAACATGGGTGTAAACACGTGACAATGTTCTCATACACATGTGGCAATGCACACATGGTAATCAATAATTAACAATGAAAGGATTTGAGTCTGAAATTGGATTGTATTAAATGAAATCGCCCTCATAGTTTTCATGAGCAATAGACCTAACATTGACAAAACTGCATTTATCCATTGCAAAGCTATTGATATTAATTTAAAGCATCCGAAACCAGAATTCGAACTTGCCTTGTCAATCTATTTTCAAAAACATTAGAAATCGCAACAATTCATACTCTCTCTCTCTCTCTCACACACACACACACACACACACATATATAATAACAGAGTATGTAAACGCCTAACAAAACATTAATCTGTAATTTATTAGAGGAAAGCTGGTTTCTTAAATAAAGTGACCAATAGCAATAGTTAATAGATAAATAAAAGCTCATATATCATTTATAAAAAAATCAAATTTCAAAGGACTGATCTTCCGACTTGAGGTTTGGAAAATACGCAGCACGTCAAAGTAAAGAATATTTCCTGAATTCATTGACAGATATTAAGATTAATAAATGATATTGGTTATGGATTCAATAAATTAACGAGCGTTGTATCTGCGGAAGATAAATCATTTGAACTTTTATTTCTCTCTCTCTCCCTCTCTCTCTATATATATATATATATATATATATATATATATATATAGATAGATAGATAGATAGATAGATAGATAGATAGATAGAGAGATAGATAGATAGATATAATTAATACAAATAAAAAGTTAGCTGATTGGTGTTACCTTCAGCATATGTTTTTATTTATGTATATATCAATACATACACATTGAGCAAGGTTATTTACTGCTGAGTAGGTATTTGCCTTTTGTTCTTTACTTCTTTCTTAGATTTGTTTTTCTTGTTAGGTCCTTTTTATTTATTTATTTATTTTTGCTATTAGCATTCCCCCTCCTTTTTTGGGAGCGGGAAAGTCTTTTGGCAGGTAGTTCCCGTACGCACACACACACACATACACACACACATACGCACGCACACGCACGCACACGCACACATGTGAGAGAGAGAGAGAGAGAGAGAGAGAGAGAAAAGAACAAAAGTAATAAAAATATAAATTAAAAGGAAAAGAGACTAAATTAAATTGGTTAGATGATATGTCCCAACACATATTAATACCAAGAAATTTTAAAAGTTTAAAATTTCAACGTCCTTTCTCCATCGTGAGCATGTGTAGTCGCATCAACATAGACATTATTTTAGTACAAAGAAGTCCTAAACGCGTCACATGAAAACTTTTTTCCACTTAAATTAATTATCCTATTCTATCTATCTATCTATCTATCTATCTATCTATCTATCTATCTATTATATTATATATATATATATATATATATATATATATATATATATATATATATATACGTGTGTGTGTGTGTGAAAAGTGTGTATATATAAATATAAATAAATAAATATATATATATATATATAATTATTTATATATTATATGCAGTACTTATTAGAAAGCGCTCAATATCAGAGATAGAGCTAACATTGTCTGACGATCGCTAAAGCGTGAAACCCAGGGTCACAAACTCACATCTATCCAACGAAATCTATGATTGATAAATATATCCATATCTATATATCTCAGTCTGCTCAACTCTCTCTTTCTCTCTCCCTCTCTCTCTCTC